GGGTGACCTCATCTTCAGTGACTACTTCTGCAACGACCTTATTTCCAAAGAAGGTCACATTCTGTAGTGGCGGTTAGGACTTCAACATATCTTTTTGGAGGACCCAATTCGACCCAGAAAGAGTCTTTAATATGTAAGTAAAATTTACAAACTACTAAGAAAAATAACACCCCAATAGGACAAGAACAGACAATTCACACACACACAATATATATATGTATCTCCACTAAACACGCACAAGATGTCCAGCTGTACTATATGCTGAGCACACTCTGACCTCCAACCTTACTAGCTGCTCCTCCTCCCTTGCCCTCACCTGGGCTAGGTCCTGGATGTTCTCCCTCTTGTAGACGCTCAGGTTAGATGACCTCATCCAGGTCAACGACTTCACTACAACCTACATGCTAATGACACCAAATCTGTGTCCCCAGTCAGGACTTCTCCCCTGGCCTCGAAACTCACTACAAACATCATACCTGGCAGCTCCAGTAGGCTATCCCATAGCATCTTAAATTTAACACCTTCAAAACAACTCTTGAATCTTTCCTCCAAACCTGCTCTTCCCCAAGTCATCTTCATTTCAATGAATGACATCAACATGCATCCAGTCACTCAGGCCAAAACCAGGGCATCATTCTTGATTCCTCCCTTTCCCTCATTATCCACATCCAAGTTATTAGGACCTGCTGATTTTGTTTCCTAAATATTTCCCATAGCCCTCCAGTCTCGCAGCCTGTACCACCACTCTAATCTAAGCTACAATTATTTCTGGTCTGGACTAATACAGTGACCTTCTAGACTGATCTCCCTGACTCCCCTACAGTATTTTGTCCCCTACAGTAAGGTGACCATATTTCTGGTTTGTTTGGGACAGTTCCCGTTTTCACCTGTTGCTTGACAATCTGTCCAGTTAGCACCCCCTTTCACTTGCAAAAGGATTCCCATTTGGATGATAAATTATATTGTCACCTTAACTTATAGTCTTTTCTTCTCACAGTAGCTAGAGTCACCTTTTGATAACGTAAATCAGATCATATCATTCCCCTGCTTAAAACTCTTCTTACTACATTTTCTTACTACATAGAATAAAATCCAAATTTCTTATGTGGTCTGTGAGGCCATATATAACCTAGCCCACCTACTTCTCATCTCTTCCAACTCTGGCCTTCACTCATTACATTCCAGCCCCACCTGCCTTTCGATTCCTCTAATAAGTCATGCCCATTTTCACTTTCAAGCCTTTGTTTTTGCTGTACCCTTTGCAGTTACCTTAATCCCCTAGATCTTTTCATAACAAATCTGTTCTGTCATTTTGGTTTCAGACCGAATATTAACTCTTCAGAGAGGCCTTCTTTGAAAACACAATCTAATGTTCCCAACTCTACCCAAGTTACTACTATATTGTTTACTTATTTGTTTATTGCTTGTCTTTCTCCACTAGAGCATAGGTCCATTGTTATCTCCTTCACCTCTGGTGCTCAGAGGCAGAGCATGTGTTCAAAAGTATTTATTGAAAAAATGAATCACAACCAAAGAAAAAAATTCAAACATGACAGCTCACAGAATCTGGCTATCAAATCAGCAAAGATTAAAAGAACAAAAATGCCTTATTTTTCTATCTAACATTCTATCACCTGACATTACATTTATGTGATGTTTACTGTGTCTCCCCCGGACTGAAATGAAATCTCCATGAGCGCAGGGACTTCGTTTTGTTCACAGCTGTATTCTCAGCAACTACAAGAGTGCCTGGCATGTAGTGAGTGTTCAATAAATATTTACTAGATAAACTGACAATATTTAGGGGTGACTAGGTAGTGGAGAAAGGGATATGGTGAAAATATAATTGATGCACAACTTCTGTAGGAAATTTGACAATATACATCAAAAGCCCTTAAAGGGGCGCATACCTTTCCACTCAGCAATCTCACTTCTAAGAGGAACTTAGAACAAAGGAACAAGGGTACAAAGATTATTTATGAGAAAATTCCTCACCGCGTTGTTTATAATAGAGAAAATTTAGAAACGTCAGCATGATATCCACCAGTAGATCATAAGTATAATTATAAATCTGTACAATAAAATATTGGTGAAGATGTATTTATTGGTGTGGAAAGAGATAAAAAGTACATTAAGAGAAGAAAGCAAGCTAAAAACACCACATATATAGCAGGACTTCATCTCTGGAAAAACATGTATGGCGGACACATGGGTATATATGAGCACACACATGCATTTACAGATAAAAGTTTAGACAGACATACATTGAAATGTTAACATTGATTATCTTTGGACAGTGAGATTAAGGGTAATTTTAATTTTCTTCTTTACATATTTCTAAATTTTTTCTAATAGTGTAACCAAAATTAATTGACTATCTGAACATGTTTTGGTTTAAAAGTAGAAAAGAAAAAGCAATAAAGATTATCAAAAACAAAAACATATTTCACCAAATCAATGAAGACTAAAGCTCAGGTTAAGAACCAGGAGTTCAGAAATGTCGACTACCGTATTGGAGATGGCTTTCTGATTTCCTGAATAAGTAAGTTTTTTCCCCTTTACAGTCAATATTTGTAAAAAACAGAAAAAAATTGTAAAACTGGTTTCTTTTACTTCATTGCCTACTAAGCTGGAGAAGGTCAGGCCCGGCTGAGAAACAACACAACGTGTAATAAAAGCTATCATTTATGCTGGGCATTTTCTTTGCATTGCCTCATTAAAAACCTGGTCCTACCAGATAGCTACCAATGTGCTCTAAAAGCTGAGAGAGGTGACAGAACTTGCTAAAGCTCACACAGCGGCCACGTAGGGGGTCCTGATTTGAACAGAGGTCTCTCTGATCTCAGGGCCTTCAGGAAAGACTAGACAAAGGCACTTTAGGCTTTATAATCTTTCAAGTCTCTTAATGCCTCTGATCTTTTACATGGTTTTCCTACCACCTTTACCTAACTTGCAAGAAAAATAAAAGAACAAGCCTGGAGTTTTTAGAAAGCTGGAGTAAGTATCTGGAGAAGCAAGATTTACATTGGCTACTAGTCTCTGGAACTTGCCCCTTATTTCTCTTCGACTCAAAAGGCTCAAGATCAAAATGTTTGGTTAGGTGGCCATACGGGAGGGGAGCAGTTTGCAAGTGCACCTGTCTGTGTGTGAAGGGCCGCAAGAGACACAACAGACTGAGATAAGGATGACATCTGTGCATCTGAAGAAGGAAGCTGGACCAGGATGAGGGAAGATGGACAATACCTGGGAAGAAAGGAAGCAGGCAGGAAGGATAAAGTTAAAGTGGGACTGAAAGAAGGGGCAATAACCAAGGAGGAACTAAGAGAAAAGGCAGTTGTGAGTTATTCTGCAGTATTTTTTCCTTCTACCTTTTTCCTCTCTATACTCTTTTCCTCGATGATCTCAGTCAATAACAGGCCTTCGACGCTCCTTTCTATCTGGATGATTATCAAATCTCTCCAGTCCTGATTTTTCTCCAGAGTTCAATTTCTTTGGGTTGGCCACATCCACATACATTTCCCATCAGCCCTTTAAATTCAGTAGGTCCAAACTGAATGTAGCATCCCCTTCACCCCAGGTCTGCTTCTACTCTAGCAGCACTCACTTTCACTCATCAAACATCCACCTGAAGTGCTCTCTCTCTCCCATTCCTTCAACCATTCTTTCATCCAAGAAATATTTATTGTGGCTCTATTATGTCCCCTGCACTGCCACAGCACTAGGTACATCCATTCACTTACCAAGTCGGGTCACTTCTACCCTGTCCATCTGTTCATCTCATCTAAATTCTTTACTGAGATTTATTGAGAATCTATCTTGCTTGAACCGTGGCTACGTAACGCTATATGTTAATCAGTTTTGCATACCATGCATTCTGTATTGACCACCTAACATTTACCACTACACCTGAGGCACAGATGGGGCTCACAGTTGAGCCTTAGGGACTACAAACTGGCTAGGAAGGGGACTGGAGGAGCAGAAGCTAGGAGATTTGTCTTGAAGGAACATTTGCATACATGAAGAAAGGTGTTTTCCTTAAACCGTGCAGTACAGATCTATACAAATAACATGAGGGTGACGATTCTTTAGTTCTGGCGTGCGGCTTGCGGGACTGGGAAGATTGACAGGGAGAAAGCCTGTTCACCTCCACCCCTTGAATACTCAACAGCCACTTGTTGAATATATCACCTTCTATGACAGGGACCAGGGATGTTGTGTTCTCCCTTGTACCTCCCCCGACTCCTAGAACATCTGGCTCATAGTAGGGGTTCAATAAATATCCATAGAGGATTCTAGAGAGGCATGAACCATAGATATTTTATTCACAACCTCAGAAGAAGGACGAAGACTAAAGAACCTAAGGGAGAAAGAAAGAGTGCAAGATGTTTCCCTCCCTATTCCTTCAGAGCCTGGTAAATGTTTGCTAAGCGAAATAAATCATCCTCCTGCACGACTCCAAACTCGGGCCCCTCGCTCGGCCGCCAGGCCCTGGAGCGCGGCCACCACCTGGCCCAGGCCCTGCTGCCCTCCCTCCGGGCCGGGCTCCTGTTCCCTCCCTGCACACAAGCGCACCCACCGCAAGGCGAACAATTACACGCTCCCGCGTCGCTGCCTCGAGGTCCGCGACTCCCCCACGACCCCCTGTCCCCGACCCCCAGCCCTGCCGCCGCCCCCACGGGCTCCAGGGTTGCCCGCGGCCCCGCCTGACCCCGCCGCCGGCTGTGGGCTCCCGCACCCCCGCCCCCGGAGCTTCCATGTGCTCGGCCTTGAGCGCGGAGCCCGGAGGCCTGGCCGCCCAGCCCCGGCCCGCCGCGCTCCTCCGGGCGGGGAGGCCAGGGAGGCGGCAAGGCGGGAAGCGGCCGCAGCTGTGAGGCGCCAGAGGGCGGGCGGCAGCGGCGCCGCGCAGCGGGCCGGACCGAGGGTCGCGCAGACGCGCGGCCAGAGCGGAGGCGGCGCTCTGGTGGCGGCGGGGCTCGGCAGCCGGCCGCTCGCTCACTCACCACGGTCCGGCGGGGCAGCGCGCCGGGGGGCCGCGACAGGGCCCGGCGGAGCCTCCGCGGCCGGCCCGAGCGGGCCCCCCCGGAGCTCTCGGAGCCGCTGTCGTCCGAGATCACGATGAAGTCCTCCATGGCTGCGGGCCCCAGCCGAGTCAGCGCGCGGGCGGCCGGCGACCCGGGCGGTGGCGACGGCGGCGACTTCGGTTCCTGCTGCTGAGGCGGCGGCGGCGGCGACGACCCGGGCCATCAGCCCGCCGGCCCCGCCCCTTCCCGCCCCGAGCCCCGCCCCCGCCGGCCCGGCCCCTCCCCCGCCCCGCCCGAACCCCGCCCCCTGGCGGCCGGCGGGTCAGGGCCGCGGGCCCCGCGCTTGGCGGGGGCGCCGGTCCTCCCTTACCGAGGAGAAAAAAAACAGAGAGAAAATCAAGTCGGAGCCGGCTTAGGCAGTGTTGGGGGCGGCAGTGCGAGACGCTGGGGCCGCGAGGGCTTCCACCGCTGCTGCCTGCTGACTGAAGCGTGAAGTGGGGTGTGCACGGGCCTCTCTGAGACAGCCTCGGCCACTGACCCACTGACCGGGACAGGGCCCTTGAGGGTGGGGACCTGGCCTCTACCCCTGACTGGGGTAGAGGGGCCCCTGACTGACTCGGGGGGGAGTCTTGGCCTCTGTTTGGGGTAGAGGGGCCTCGCCTGACTCGGGGTTGGGGGGAGTCCTGACTTCTGACTGGGGTAGAGGGGCCCCCGACTGACTGGGGTGGGGGGCACCTGGCCTCTTACTGGGGTGGGGGGCCCTGGCCTCTGAGGGGTAGAGGGACGCCTGACTGACTGTGGGGGGGGGACCTGGCCTCTAACTGGGGGTAGAGGGCCCCACTCCTTTGTGCACATGTGCAAGTACATCTGTAGGGTAAATTCCCAGAAGTGGAATTACTGGGTCAAAGGCAATGTTTCTGTTGTTCTTTTGATAAATGATACCAGATTACCCTCCTAAGTTGCACCAATTTACAGTTTCACCAACAATCTTTGTTACTCAGAAATTTAAATTATGAGCTTTAGAGACTTCTTCAGTTGGTGACAGAAACTGAAAAAGGCACAAGAGAATCCATGAAGTAGAAGATGCCATTAATAATTAGGTGTTATGAATGAGCAAAGTTATAAAGATGGAAGAAGATGTACTCAGTAGAGGGAGAAGGGGTAGGTAGGTGGTCAGTTGTAGGGCAGAAACGTTAAAATCAAGATGGGATCTGTGTTGCAATAAATGTGGGGTATTGAAAAATCCTGCTGCTCAGCCTCCGGCAACTTGGTGAGATGTATTAACAGATCTAAAGGAAAATGTGTTTATTAGAAGGGGGATTGGTTCCTAAAGGAATGGTTATCAGATGCTATGTAAGTCCTGTCTGGTGCAGTGATTCTCAAACTTTAGTGGGCATCAGAATTGCCCAGAAGGCTTTTTTAAAACGCAGATTGCTGGGCCCCACCCTAGAGTTTCTGATTCGGTACGTATGAGGTGGGTCCCCAAAATTCGCGTTTCTAACAGGTTCCCAGGTGATGTTGATGTTGCTGTTCTAGGGACCACACGTTGAAAACCACTGGTCTGGTGGACAGGGAGTCCATGGACAATACATTTCAGATCTTCTGGTCAAATGGCTGAAATCGTTCTTGTTGTGAAGGGATTCATTAAGTTATCTTCACCACGTGCCATTAAACATTTAGTTTATTTAACTCCCTGCTTCTTGAAACACTGTCTTCTCTAAACTTCTGTAACTGTGCCTTTCTTACCACTTCTTTTCAGTCTCCTTAGCTGACTCCTGCTCCTCTACCCACTCCTTAAATCTCGATGTTCCTCAGAGTTCTGACATAGGCCACCTTCACATGTTTCTCCCTATGTAATCTCAACTATTCCCATGGCTTTAGTGATCATTTTTATGCTGATGTCTCCCACAGATTTATCTCCAGCCCAGCCTTGTCCTCGAAGCTCCAGATGTATATGTCCAAACGTCTGTTGAATCTCATAGGCATCTCAAATTGAATATGTCTAAAACTGAACTCACCCTCCTGCCCCAGAAAGCCTACTTCTCCTTCGGTGTTCCCTGTCTCAGTGAGTGGTGGTACCGCTAGCCAGCAGTTGCTCAAGTGAGAAATCTGACCGCTATGCTTGATTTCTATCTTCTTCTCATCAATCTGTCCTGTCTATTTTACCTCCTAAATATTTCTCGCACCCGTTCGCGTCTTTTGGCCTCTGCTGTTGTGATTCTAGGCAAGTGAACATCACTTATGGCCCAGTCGACTGTAGTAGCCTCCTATCCAGGCTTCCTGAATCTATTTTTGACCTCTTTCATTCCATCCTCCACACTCAGCCGAAGTGTTCTTTAAGAAAGTATGTAATCATGCCCCCTTGGTGTCTTTCTAATAACACTTAGTCTGCTCAGGCTGCCGTAACAAAGTACCATGGACTGGTTGCTTAAACAACAGAAATTCATTTTCTCACAATTCTGGAGGTGGGGAAGTCCAAGATCAAGGTGCTGGCCAATTCGGTTCCTGGTGAAGACCGTCTCCTGGGGTTGCAGATTTCTCATTGTATCCTCACATGGCCTTTCCTCAGTGGGTGAGAGAGAGAGAGATATAAATCTCTTCTTCCTCTTATAAGGCCACTAATGCCATCATGAGGGCCCCCTCCTCAAGTTCTAATCTAACCTTAATTATCTCCCAAAGGCCCTGTGTCCAAATCCCATCACCCTGGGGGTTAGAGCTTCAACATATGGATTTTGGGGGAACACAAACATAACACAGTATAAACTTCTAAATATGAGTATTTTTGTAGATTGTGTAAATAGATGTTATATTTATATGTAACATGTTATATATATTTTACATTATATACAAATATGTTTATATATATAACATATATATATAACATTTCACTCTAAATTTTACCTTAAAAAAAGAAATGGAAAAAATTTTGAACTCTATAATATGCATGCTGTATTGTTGAGGTGTGAAGTGTACTGATGTCTGCAGGTTACTTTGAAAGGCATCAAAAATAAGATGGATAAATGTGTAGCTGGATAGATATGGGTAAAGCAAATATAACAAAATGCTAACGTTGGCAGATCTGCATGGTAGTAATATGGGTATTCACTTTTAACTTTTATGTATATTTGAATGTTTTCATATTATGTTGAGAAAAAATTTAAAATTAAGAAAGTTAGTTATGATTTTACCGTATTTTAAAAAGCTAAAAAAAGGAGATGACAATGAACCCTATGTATCCATCATCTAGCTTCAAGAATTATCAATCTTGTTCTATTTATGTTCCCACCCACTTTCTCACCCCCACCTTCCTGAATTACTTTAAAGTAAATCTCAGACATCACCTTGTTTATTCTGTAGACATTTCAGTGTGTATCTTTAAAAGATACGGAATCTTCATTCAACAAAGTGTTGTTGAGCACGTATGCTGTACTCAAGGGACACAATAGACAACAACATAGACATGGTCTCTGGTCCATGGTGCTTATAATTTATGGGGAAGACAAACAATAAACTAGTAAATAATCATACATTATTATAAGTATATAAGCAGTTTGAGAAGTCTTAGCTTTGTATACAGGATCCTAGGCCCACCCCCGGAGAATCTGGTTCATAACCTCCAGAGTAGGTCCTTGGGGGTCTTTCTTTTGCTGAGGAAAATTCACCCTGAGCTAACATCTGCGACCAATCTTCCTCTTTTTTTTTTTTTTGGGAGCTGCCACCACAGCATGACCACTGACAGACCAGTGGTGTAGGTTCGCATCTGGGAACCAAACCTGGGCTGCTGAAGCAGAGTGCACCAAACTTAATCACTAGGCCACTGGGGCTGGCCCGAAAAGTCTTAACTTTTGAGACATAAACATAAACGATTTAATGATTCCCCAATTACCATTACCACTGTCTCTAGAAATCCTCTTGCTCTCTGGAAAGCAGATTCCCTTAAGAATATTCTACTCTGGTCCCATAACTGAGCAGTCACTTTCAGTAACTAGTACAGTCTCATTCCAAGTATTTTGACTTAGGCCAGCCCGTTTTAATCTTTAATCTCATATTTAATTCATAGCTCTTCCTGTTCTCCTGGTGCAGGTGGACTTGTGGCTACAACAGCTCTTAGTGGACGGGGTGATAATGTCATTCTTCTTCTCTCTCCTTGGCTCTTGCTCCTCCCAAGTAGGCATAAGGAGGAGAGAGAAAGAATGTTCTCTGTAAGACTGTCCTTGAAAAGTCTGTTTTTTTCTGTTGGTTGTTGCAACTTCAGTAACAGTTCTCCCAATGTGTCAGGAGTCCAGATGCCAGCTCTCTTACTTGGACTGGGCACACTGTTGCTCTCAGTAGCCTCCCCTGTGCACTCCCTAACTTAGGAGAGGTCAGTCTCAACCCCTTTCTTCCGAACATTCCCCCCGAGGCCTTTCCGGGGCACTCTAACATATAGCCTTTTGTTGTTGGGGATCTTTGTCTGGAGGCTCTTGGGGAGTGCTAGCAAGAGCCTTGAGCCTCAACCACCTTCTGTACTCTCCAGTTGACTCACACATGGAGAATTTACATATATAATTTAAGGAAGAAGGGAATAGAGGCAGCTCCCATCTTGGTGCCCCTCTCTTAGCACCAACTATCTCTTTTCTCCCTTCCTTCACCCCCAAGGGCATCAGTAGTTTGTTCAGGTCAATAGTTTGGGGACTTTCTAAGCTTGGGGAGTGGGGAGAAGAATAGTTTGGTGCACTTTAATCTTGTAGGAATGGGGGAACAAGTTGAATGGCCCCCATCTTCTTTAGCTGGGGAGAGGTTATGGATGGTTGCCATCTACAATAAGTAATGTTCATCCATGGATATATGAACAAATTTGGAAAAAAATTCAAATATCTACTTTTGTTGCAGAATTTATGATAGAGTGATTAATATAACTAGCTGACGTTCAAGCATAAAAATAGTGATATAACTTTAGGAATACAACAATGTTCTCATTGTATATATCTTTCTCATCAGCCATCCTGCCTGAAACTCAGGAAACACAGGGTCCCTGGCTATGTGATATGAGTAGACTTGAAAAGTACCTTGTTCTTATTTGGCAACCCAGATGGATGAATATTGGCCCTGAAGTTGCTTTTCTTAAAACTGTAAGTAGTGTTGGTTTTATTTTCTTGGCTATCCTGGATCTGTCTTGAAATATGCTGTTTAGCCAAGATTTCCAAAATGATGGATGGTGTCTTTTTCAGAAATTAGTATGTGTGTGTATTTTACTTTTCTTTTTTTC